CTAATTGAAGGCCTGGTGGAAGAGCTCCGTCTTGCAGCCCCTGCGGAACTGCAGTAGATCCCGCAGGGCCCTGATCTCCTCCGGGAGCTCGTTCCACCAGTAAGGAGCCGCCACCGAAAAAGCCCTGGCCCTTGTCACAGCGAGCCTGGCCTCCTTGGGACCCGGGAGGGTCAACCTGTTCTGTGACCCTAACCTCAGTGGTTTCTTGGGTATATGTGGGGAAAGGCAGTCCCCTCAGGTATGTCGGACCCTGGCCATATAGGGCTTTAAAGGTAAGCACCAGCACCTTGAAACGGATTTAGTATGTCATTGGCAGCCCGGTTGGGTATATGTGGGGAAAGGCAGTCCCCTCAGGTATGTCGGACCCTGGCCATATAGGGCTTTAAAGGTAAGCACCAGCACCTTGAAACGGATTTAGTATGTCATTGGCAGCCAGTGCAGAGCCTTCAGCACAGGCTGGATGTGCTCCCATCTAGGTAAGCCCATCAACAGCCTGGCCGCGGCATTCTGCACTAGCTGCAGCCTCCGAATTTGCAACAAGGGCAGCCCCATGTAGAGAGCGTTACAGTAGTCTAGTCTCAAGGTGACCGTTGCATGGATCACTGTGGCCAGGTCATTGCGATCGAGGAAGGGAACCAACTGCCTAATCAGCCAAAGATGATAAAAGGCTGATTTGGCAGCAGCCGCTACATGGGCTTCCATTGTTATTATATCTCGTTTCGTGTATAACTTTATCAAAGTGGGTAGCGTTGAAATACCTATATAATATTAATCCATTTGGCAGACACTCTAGCCATATCTCCTAGTAACACTCATCAAATCCACCACTGGTGGACCTCCTGATGGCACTGGTATTTCTGGCCACTGTGTGATACAGAGTGTTGGACTGGATGGGCCTTTGGCCTGATCCAACATTGGCATCTCTTATGTTCTTATGTTCTTATGAGATATGACCTAATATTATATAGGTATTTCAACACTACCCACTTTGATAAAGTTATACACGAAACGAGATATAATACACATGGTTTGTTGGTGCTGATGGCATTCGAATTGCTTCAAGTAAGCTGAATATTGGAAAAAGAATTTTCAAGTCAGTGAAGACCTTTTTTTGGCACAATACGTCACGGTTGTTTGTTTTCTTTCAACCTCCAGGTGGTGGCTGGAGATCGCCTGAGACTATGGCTGATCTCCAGGAGACATCGATCAGTTCCCCTGGAGAAAATGGCCACTTTGGAAGGTGGACTCTATGGCTTTTACACCCCGCTGAGGTCCCTCCTCTACCCAAACCCCGCCCTCTCCGAGCTCCACCCTCAAAATCTCCAGGTATTTCCCAACCTGGAGCTGGCAACCCTATTCTTCACACTTCTTTAATGAACCTCCCCTCAAACATGCAAATACCGAAGTCATCAATCCATAATTTTAGTTAAGTGAGAACTGACCGATCAGTTTAAAGTTTAAAGATCTGAAGGGCAGCTTACCGATCTTAATGCGGATGTTATTGGGGTTCGATTTCTTGCCCCCCGCAAAGGAAAGGAGAATATTCTGAGGTTTCAGATCCCGATGGATTATCCCTTTGCTATGCAACACCTTCATGGCACCAGCAATTTGTTGAAGAAAGAGTCGGATCGTGTCCTCACTGAGTGTCCTCATACCTGGTGAGCGGAGAGAGGCGAACAGTTGCAAAACCCAGCCATTATTAACGGTTCCCAGGGCTATTTTTGGGCAGGAACGCACAGGAACGGAGTTCCGGCTGGCTCCCGAGTTGGCCACACCCAGCAGGAACTCATTAGCATAATAGGCCACACCCAACAAAAACTCATCGGGATTGGCTACATTAGGGGTGTGTGGCCTAACATGCAAAGGAGTTCCTGCTACAAAAAAAGCCCTGGCTTTTGACAACAAACAAGGTAAACAGAATAAGGAAAGGTGGGTGTGGCTGGATGACCACACTTCTGGTAACATGTGGGGTGTGGCCTAATATGCTAATGAGATGTGCTGTCAGGGTGTGGCCTATTATGCTAATGAGTTCCTGCTGGGCTTTTTCTACAAAAAGAGCCCTGACGGTTCCTATCAATTGTTATGAAGAATTGATATTATCATTGAGTCCCTCACATTTATATCCTGCCTCTCGGGCTAAACATCTTATATAAGTACGCACTCATCATTTACACTGTGTTGTAACATATATACATTGGCAATCCTACCACGAGATTACACTGGCTCTGTTTCACCGGGGTTGACATTTTTGCCTGTGGAAGGTATACCAACAGAGCTCCAGTCATTCTCTCTCAGTCTAAAATACCTCACAGGGAACTGCTGTGAAAACAGAATGGGGGGGACACATACATCATCCCAAGCTCCTTGGAAGAAGTGGAGGGGTGTGCGTGGATCCAAATCAAGTAAACAAGTTATCACACGCTTTGTTCCAATATGCCCTCAACGTGGTTTCTTGACTCCTCTGATCAAGAGGGTACCCCTCCCATAAATCAGTTCAGGCAGCTGTGGCTCATACCGGAGCCTTTTCAGTGATGGCCCCTCAAACATCACAGCATGCCAGGAAGGCTTCCTATGTGCTAATTTTCAGAAGATGAGGTGAGGCATAATAGTTGAGGAGGGCTTTTAATTGGTCATCTTTCACAATCCACGCAGGTATTTATTAACAGTGGCAACTGCTTGCCTTTAAAAAACTGGTTTTAAACTTGAGTCCCCTTGTGGAGAAAAACAAAATCGAAATAATTCAGACCAAAATTCTTTCAAGATCTCAAAGAAAACACCTATACTGGGGTTTCGGAAACAGGGGGGTAGGCGGAAGTACTGAAAAACAATTCTCAGCCTGCTAAAAATTCCACATGTCAGTCAGGAGCCTGGCTTATGACCACAGGAAAGTGAACCATGTCCAAAATGTCAAAAGAAGCCCTCAGGCAACCAAATGTGACCAACCGGGTCATGAGGTATGACGCAGATGTGTACAGGTAACACTTCCAAAAGGCCTCAGAGAGTCACAAGGGCCCAGCCATTCCTCAAGCCTCTGCCTCCACGCAACTAAGAGAAGTCAGGCTCACAAGATACCTGGTCTCCTCAGGTGAACAATCCACACCTCTCTCTCACAAACACATGTGGTAAAGTAAAAAAAAGAGCAAGAGTCCAGCAGCACCTTAAAAACTAACAAAAATTTGTGGCAGGAGAATCAGCTTTCGTGAGTCACTGCTTACCAGTGATACCAGTGACTCACGAAATTTCATCCCCTGCCACAAATTCTGTTAGTCTTTAAGGTGCTACAGGACTCTTGCTCTTTTCTACTGCGGCAGACAAACGCAGCTGCCCATCTTGATTTATCTACATGTGGTAAAAGCCATGTGGCTGTGTTGATTTCTTAACCTGCCGCGTTTTAAATGGCAGCCAAGATCAACTGTTCATTTTATTTAGAACCTGAACCTTATGCCCACCGGGAGCCAAAAGTGTCTCATAGCATCGTTCTGCCCTCCTCCATTTCACCCTTGCGGCAGCCCTGTGAGGGAGGTCAGATTAAGAGAGAGAATGACCTGCCCAAGGCAGAGGGGGGATTTGAACCTGGGTCTTGGTTCAGAAGACGAGCCTAGGCTTTGTCATCTATTTTCAGTCTGCGATTTCTTCATTTTGAGAGGACACAAAGAAAGTCACCTCATAATGAGGCAGAGCATCAAGTCCAGGATTGGCTACAGGGACCAGATTGACATGTTGCTGGAGATTGTATCGTTATAAAGATTCACCTCCTGGATTTGCCTGTTCGGACAGGCAGATCCAGGAGGGGACTCATTGCCACAGCTCAGTCTCCAATGACGTGTAGATGCAACCCGGATGTAGAACTGAAGAGCAGCGGCCTTTGGTTTCAATCTGAGCCATGACTCTCAATGTGGGCTGTGACCAAGTTATGGAGTCAGGGGTGATTTAAAGCACAGAAGTGGCGGGGCAGGAAGGGAATACTGAACTCTCGGCTTCAAAAACAAAAATTCCTCCCGGCTGCTCTTTGCCCAGCAAACTTTAGTTCCAGTCTTGAAGCCCAAATGGTAGGAAAACATAAATTTCAGAAAGAAGAGGAGAAGAGATCGGATTTATACCCCGCCCTTCACTACCCAAAGGTGTCTTAGAGCGGCTTACAAATGCCTCCCCCTCTCCCTCCCCACAACAGACACCCTGTGAGGTAGGTGGGGCTGAGAGAGCTCTGACAGAAACTGCTCTTTTTTCAAGAACAGCTCTGACAGAACTACGGCTTGCCCAAGGTCCTCCAGCAGCTGCCAGTGGAGGAGTGGGGAATCAAACCCGGTTCTCCCAGATTAGAGTCCGCGCACTTAACCACGACACCTCCTGGTTCAGGACCACCCCTCGGACTGACCTTCCTCTGCCGTTTCCCTACCCCCCACCAATCCTGCTTAGCAGAGGGAAGATTAACTCTGGTTCACCTGGGTGCCTGTATTCACACATCACAAGTAAGCAGAATTAGTTTTTAACTGTGATTCCATACACAAGGACAGAGGGGGAAGGAGTGAGTTGTGTGTCCTGCCCAATCCTGGCAACAAGCCAAGTTGTGCACTTTTTACTTAACTGTTACACAGGGGCAGATTAAGGCTCACTGGTGCCCTAAGCACTAACCAATCTTGGTGCCCCCTTTCTTTCCACACTGACCCAGTCTAATCCGCCCCTGCTGTTACATTGGTTGTCTGAATTGCTGAGCAGTCAGGTTAGAACGGATAAAAGGAAGTACTTCTTCACCCAAAGAGTGATTCACACATGGAATTCACTGCCACAGGAGGAGGTGGTGGCTACAAGCATGGACGGCTTCAAGAGGGAATTAGATAAGCATATGGAGCAGAGGTCCATTGGTGGCTATTAGCCACAGGGTATAGATAGGAACTCTCAGTCTGGAGCAAGGGATGCTCTGTATTCTTGGTGCTTGGGGGGGGCAAGAGTGGGAGGGCTTCTAATGTCCTGCCCCCACTGCTGGATCTCCTTGATAGCACCTGGTATTTTTGGCCACTGTGTGACAGAGTGTTGGACTAGATGGGCCATTGGCCTGATCCAACATTGGCTTCTCTTATGTTTTTAATACAGCTTTGAGGTCATCATGCCTTATGGGGGGGGGGAACTCAATAAAGTACAAGAAGTCAGGAAAACTTAAAGCATGGTGATGTCATATTACAACGCTGGACACTACAAAATAGACATGTGACTGCTGTTTTCATTGGCAGTAACTAGTTCTTGCAATATCTACTTGCAGTACCTAGTTCTGTTCTGCTCTGTCCTGTAGGATCTGCCATCTCCCCCCCTCCCCCCACAACTACCCTAATGCAGAATTTTGAATTATTTTTTCAGACCAGGAGTTCACTGTTAATACTTCAGATGCTCGGTTGCTATCCCCAACAAACAGTCATGGCACCTTTCGCATTTGGGCCTGAACTAATCATTCATAAAACTCTCAACGCCACCCTTGGAGTAAATACGAATTTAGCTTTTTAATCCTTCAGTTCCAGCAGATCAACATGAAAGAACCTCAAAGAGCATCTGGCAGAACTCTCCGCCCCCGCTTTTCTCCCACAAGTCAGCCACGCAAAAAATTAACAAAAAAAGGGGACGACAAAGTAGATTAACGTTGTTTGTTTAAACGGGAACCAAAAATCGGGGGAGAAGGAGATTAATAAACATGAGAAGACAGCTTTAATCTTTTAGTTAGCATGCAAGAACTTAAGGCCTTTTTATTTAAAAAAAAGTGGAACTGGGGGGAAAAGGTGGGGGAGAGGAATGAACTCTAAATGCAAGCCCATTTTTTAAAAAGCTACAAATTTAAAATCCACTAGGACAGCCCCAAGTCTACATAAATGCTGCAAATGCTTGCTTAGAACTTTATGACTGCAAGAAGAATCTCTGGAGGAAACAATATGGTTGGAACCCTGCAACAGCAACACTTTCCCCTCATGCAAGAAGCTTTCCCTGTCTCAAGAGTGAACTTGCCCCAGGGGAAAGCACAGCCCTTAATGGGAACAGATTCACAGGATCTGAACCAATCACAATAATCAGGAATGGGTTTTGGGTAAGTAACAGGTTCAAATCCCTGCTTGCACACAACACGATCGTGGACCAATCAGTAATGATGAGGGCCTTTGGGAAAGCGGAGAGCCCATATATATCACCTTGAGCTTTTTGAAGGTGGCACAGAACGACTGGATAAATTAGGGGGAAGACCTTCCAATCCATCTCCCTCCTGGGAATTTGGAGGGTGACTGGGTTTCCCATCCCCCCAATGGGAGTGGGGTTCCCCCGATTTTGGGGCCAGCTGGCTAGCAGGGGGAACCCCACACCCAAAGAGCCCCGTCCCACCCAACATGCCCGACACAATGATGCGGGGGACGCTCTAGCATTTGGGCAAAAGAAAAAATCTATTGGGACCATAGAGGTGTCGTTGCCCAAATGCTAGAGCATCCTGTCTGACATGCCCGGCGCGATGACTTCACCTCTGGATCAGGACTGGATTCCCCTCCCCCCGCCAGCAGCCAGGTAACACCTGGCAACCCTAAGGGTGACACCTCGGGAGGGTGGGGTTTGGGGAGGGGAGGGACCTCAGCCGGGTAGAATGCCACAGAGTCCACCCTGCAAAGCAGCCATTCTCTCCAGGGGGACT